TAATCAAAAAATTAAAAAATAGGAAAACTCAGGTGAAATTGAAATAATTAATATATCTTCATTTATTATTTTTTTTTTTTAAGGAAAAAATATAAAACATAAAATAGGATAAATCATGTCTCAAGAAGAAGTTGAAACAAGTGCTGTTGAAGCTCCAGTATACAATGTCGACCCAGAAACTACTATCTTCGTCGGCAATATAGCTAATGAAAGTACTGAAGATGATGTGAAACAAGTGTTTAACGAGGAATTCGGCAGCGTAGAAGTGGAATTCCCATCTTCTGCCAACCCAAGAGGTCGTGTTTATTATAGTAAATATGCTTTCGTTAAGTTCCCACAAAAAATTGACGTAGATGCAATTAAGGAAAAATATGACAAGAAAGTCATCAATGAAAAGGGCATTTTCATCAGAAAAGCTTTAACTGCAGAAGAAAGAGAAGCTGAAAGAAAGGCTAGACAAGCCAATAGAAGAGGTACTCGTGGTAGTTTTAGAGGTAGAGGTAGAGGCGGTAGTAGAGGTGGTCGTGGTGGCAGAGGCGGTAGCAGAGGCGGTTTCCGTTCCCATGGTTTAGCTGTACCTGCTCCACCAAGAAAAGAAAAGATCCCATTGACTGAAATGGAAAGATCTAAAGATACTCTATATGTGAATAATGTTCCTTATTATGCTACCAAAGAAGAATTAGCTGAATTTTTTGGCACCACCCCAGAATTGGTCGTGTTACCAATGAGAAGAATGAAAGATATGAGAACAAAGAGAGTCTTTTTCTCAAAAAGAATGAACAGAGGTATTGCATTTGTTACTTTTGCTGATTTAACAAGCGATATCTCAAATAAAGTCGAGAACTTCCAAGGTAAAACTTTGCAAGACAGAGAAATTACCGTTGATATTGCTGCCCTAAAACCTCACTTTGACGACGAAGAAGAAACACAAGAAATCGAAGCCGCCACTGAAGTTAACGCTACTACAGAACAAACTGAATAATGTTTTCAACGTTAATGATAAATAATAAACAGTTGTATGTAATCTTTTTTAATACCTATTGTTTATTTTATTTTACACTTTAATAAATCATTATATTCAAGAAACACCACACTAATACTTGAAAAATGCACAAATATATATATATATCTTCATATAAATCAATTGGTCATTTCTACCCATCTCTATTTAGATATCAAAGCTATTTATAAATACATATATTTATTATACTAGATAGTCATCATAAGATCAATTCGGGTGTATTTCTTAACCTTACGGAAAAAAAAAATATTAAGAGGTGAAAAATTACAGATCTCTTCATACAATTTCGAGATTTTGCCTATTTGGTCAAATACCAAGTAAGTTTCGAAAAGAGTAAACTAAACAGCAGAATGATTATATAAACAGCATCAAATATATTTGCATCGTATTAATATTGTTTCTGATCAACAATAAATTATTGAACTTTGTACTTTATTAAATGTTGTAGTAACATCAAGTGTTTTTAACATTTCTATATTTCGATTTATGCCAAGAAATTTGAGGATTTATATTAAATTATGGGTGAACATGAAATTTGGAATAAAGATGATTTAACAGTGTTTGCTCGATCTACATACTTGAACTATTACATTCCTCTATTTTTACTATTTGTGAATTTAGTTTTTTTTATACTGAATATATCTAGGTATATTTTGTTGAAATTAAAAGGTCGATTTAAGTGGGAAACTTCAAATGAGTTTGACAGAGATTGGAACAAGCACGGTGTTCTTAAAAAGAGAGATACGGTACCAAATCATATTCCTTATGTAGGGACTAATTATAATTCAAAAGTACTCAGCTCTCCATTTGATTCAACGGATTATTCCGTTGATTCTGTAAAGGATAGACATTTTGATATTGATTATATTGCAAAGGAAGTGTTAGAAAATAATAAAATAACTTTGAATATAGTTCATAGGAAATTCAGGGATAAATTAAGAATAATAATAGAATTTTTACTGGTTACTATTAATACTATTATTCATACTCATATTTTATTAAATTCAGATCTAAATATAACCGGTGAATTGACTTTAAGAGAATATATGGTATTTTTTGCACTATGGTTTAGTTTATTTATCATTATTACTCTTCGTCTGATTAATATGAATGAATCTGTAAATTGGATATGTACCCTAATTGGTGATCTTTGGTTATTATCATTTTCAAATTATTCTATATTGTTAATTATAGGAACTGCATCTTATCGCTCCGTGCTGATTGGAAGCATTAAAACACATGTTGATAAAATTTACCATACACAACAATTCTATATAAATCTAATTCTATTCTCGATTCTTCTCTTTTCACCAATTCAAAATTCATTACCATTATTATACAAGACAAGAGATGATATTACTCCATCACCTGAACCATTATCTTCAATTGCCAATTATATATCGTTTTCGTGGTTAAATCCATTAATATCGAAATGTAAAAGGAGTAACTTACTCTTATCTGACGTCTGGGCTCTTACTTATGATGATTACTGTTCACATGTAATGCAAAACTTTAAAGAAAAGTGGAGTACCAAAGTTTACTCAAATTCATTCTCAATCCGGTTTGCATTGTCATTGAAATATTTTTTGTTAATCCAGATAATTTGGTCTATAGCAGCTTCATTTATCACCTTTGTTCCTATTATTTTCCTTCAAAAATTCCTAGAGTACATAGATAATCCAATGACAACTTCAAAAAATGTTGCTGTGCTTTATGTAATTGGTATGTTTATTTCTAAAGTTATTGTTTTAACATGTCAAGGGCAAATTAATCACATAGGTAGGAGGATGTCAATTAGAATGAACAGTATCCTTATTTCTGAAATTTACTTTAAGGTTTTAAGAAAGGTATCAATATCAGCTTCAACATCCCAGGGTAGTGACAGACAAGATTCAGGTTTAATTTATGATGAAGAAATTTCCCCAAAGGGAGACGGTGCAATTTTAAATCTAATGTCAGTAGACGTTTCTAATGTTTTGCAAATATGTGAATACCTCCATTTGCTTATTGGATCTATTATCATGATAATTGTTTCTTTGTCAATGCTTGTTAGGTTGCTGGGAACTGCGGCATTTGTTGGATTATGTGTTCTCTTGCTGATTTTTCCATTGAATGTATTTTTAGCTAGATCGACCTCTAGATTCCAACATGAAGGACTATTAGTTACTGATAAAAGAATTCAAAATCTTAATGAGTTATTTAGTTCCATTAAAATTATCAAATGTTTTACGTGGGAGGATAATTTTATCAACCACATCTTAAGGACGAGAGATTCTGAGGTTAGAAAAATGAAATTAATATCCGTTATATGGTCATGTAATGCCATAATTTGGTATCTGACTCCAACATTAATCACTAGTATCTCTTTTGCTTACTTTATATTTTGTGAGAGAGCAACACTCACGGCACCTATTGCATTTACTGCTCTCTCTCTATTTGGACTACTTAAAATGCCTCTAGATCAATTATCTAGCACAATAAATTATATTGTTCAATCAGTAATATCTCTGAGAAGGATTCAATCTTTCTTAGATGAACCAGATATGGATAAACAGAAAAACCTACTTTTATCAAAGGATGGCACCTATTTTATGTTCAGTGGTGCAACCATTGGATGGAGCATTAATAACAAAGGCTTTATCCTAGAGAATCTTAATGTTAAATTTAAAAGTAAAAAACTGAATGTGGTTGCTGGTCCAACAGGTGCTGGAAAATCTTTATTGCTTATGAGCTTATTAGGAGAAACCCACTTGTTCAAAGGTGAAATACATGTTCCATCATTAGCTTCTAAACATGAATTGATGATTCATGGAGACGGTTTAACAAACTCGATATCTTACTGTTCTCAAATTCCTTGGATTATAAACGATAGTATTAAGAATAATATTTTGTTTGGATCAGAGTTTAATTTGAAGAGATATAATGATGTTATCCGAGCCTGTTGTCTAACCAACGATCTAAGATTATTACAGGATGGTGATAATTCTATTGTAGGAGACAGAGGGCAGAATTTGTCTGGTGGACAAAGACAGCGGGTATCGCTAGCCAGAGCAATCTATTCTAAATCAATGCATATAATTTTAGATGACTGTTTAAGTGCAGTTGATTCGAAGTGTGCAAAAGATATTTATGACTTGTGTTTGACTGGGCCCTTGATGAAAGGAAGGACATGTATTTTAGTTTCCCACAATGTTGAGTTGGTCATTAAGAAAGCTGCATATCTTTTAATATTGGACAATCGAACTACGGCGTATAAAGGCCCTCCTGGTGACTTGTTGAAAGATAAAGCACTCCGTCAGAGATATTGTAAATTTGATTTTAATGAATTAAATGAAAATTGCCCTAACCAATGTACAACATCTGTGGTACATAAACCAGATTATTATTTAGAAGACAGGGATAGTTCAAGCAAAACTCAGTCACAAACAATATTGAAGAACTTGGATGATCAAAATGAGAATATCCTTGGAGAGGTTGTTCCTAATGGTGCAGTAGACTTATATCTGTACAAGTGGTACTTCAAATACTTGGGAGGTTGGAAAGTTTTGTCTTTGATGCTTTCTTCCTTTTTGTTAGCCCAATTTGGATATTTTGCTCAATCTTGGTGGGTACGTAACTGGTTGATAAACCGAAGTGAAGTCTCTAATTTTTCATTTCTAAAATCAAACAAAAATTCTGATACTAATGATAAGTATTACTTTTTTATGTATTTTTTCATTGGTTTATGCTATGCATTGTTCTCGTCAATTAAGTCTGGTTTGACGTATTTCACAGGTATAAACGCATGCAATAGGATATTTATTAAAATTTTGCGAAATGTGGTTTCTTCTAAATTAATCTTCTTTGAGAAGACTCCAATTGGAAGTATCATGAACAATTTTTCGAAGGACATAAGATCATTGGATTTTGAATTAAGCCCGTTTATAGAAGGTACATTTTCATGTACTTTACAGACATTGATGTCATTAATCCTAATAACATATGTTAATCCAAATTTTATATTTCCGGCGATATTCATCTTCTTATTTTGTTGTTTTATTGGGCATTCGTATTTATGCTGCTCAAGAGAATTAAAGCGATATGAGTCTATCACGAAGACTCCAATTTATCAGCATTTTTCTGAATCTCTTGCGGGATTAGTTTCTATTCGTGCTTTTGGAGATGAATTAAGGTTTATTAAGGTAATATTTACCAGAGTAGATGAGTATAATAAATCTTTTTTTTACTTATGGGAAGCAAACAATTGGTTATCTTTTAGAATTGAGTTAATAGGGTCGATTACAATATTAGCAACAGGATTGTTTTTATTAAGTAATGCAAATATGGTAGATTCTGGATTGGCAGGTATTACTTTTACTTACGCGATAGCCTTCACCGAATCTGCATTATGGATGATAAAATTTTATGCGACAATGGAAATGAACATGAATTCTGTTGAAAGGCTATATGAGTACACAAACTTGGAACAAGAACCATATAGTAGGTGTATAACAAATGTTGACAATCAGTGGCCAAACTCGGGTGATATTAAATTTAAAAATGTTACTTTACGATACTCCCCAGAATTACCAAAGGTACTTCAGGATGTTACATTTGTAATAGGAGATAAAGAAAAAATTGGTGTTGTGGGAAGAACAGGAGCTGGTAAG